TCATCAAACAATAGCAACAAGAGAATATGCTGAAGATCAATTACCAATAGGATATTTACCAGATGCAACTAAAGCATTACCTGATATATCTTCACCTTCATATATGTATCCTGGTGTAATACCAAATATGCCACCGAAAACTATTGGAATTGAATCAACTGGTGAAGAACATTTAGGTATTACAGTTAAATTAAATGAAATGGGAGATTTAGAAATCAAAAGAATTGTACAAGGTGGTTTAATTGATAAACAAGGTAGGGAAAAGAAAACTTAATTATAAATTTAGAAAAGGAAATTTCTTGATTTTTTTTTCCAATTAAAGGTCTTCTTCATGTCGGTGATATAATCAAAGAAATTAATGGTGAAATTGTTAATACACCGGAAGAATTACAAGATAAATTAAGAAATGCTCGTGGTGCTGTAACATTTAAAGTTGTACCTAGTTATTATGATTTTCCTTCACCATCACAAGTAAAAATTAAATTTTATTCAAAGAAAAAAAACAATATTTAATTTTTTTCTTTGTTATAGTTGTATATTCGCGCTCATTTTTCCTATGATCCAGCTAAAGATAAATTAATTCCAGCTAAAGAAGCTGGATTAGCATTTGAGGAAGGTGATATATTACAAATACTTTCACAAGATGATGTTCATTGGTGGCAGGTATAATTATTTCATAGTTTGAATTATATATCTTTTTCTTCTCTTTACAAAGGCAAGACTTGTGAAAGATCCAACACAAAAAGGTCTTATACCATCACAATATCTTGAAGAACGACGTAAAGCTTTTGTACCACCTGAAAATGATTTTTCTAAAACATCTCGTAAGTCAATATGAATATATAATTAAAGAAAAACATACACTTCCATTATGAATTCTTAATGTTATATAAATAGTTTTAGTAAGTCTTCATATAAAATGATTTATGTTTAATAGGATGTATATTGCATAACCTTTAAAATGAATTTGAATTATCAGACTAACATATGATATCGCGCATACTTGTAGAATAGATGATTAACAACTTTATTGATATTAAGACTATTCAGATTAATTCATTGTAGATGTACTTTTTGAATAAAATATTCGACAAAAATAAGAATATATAATACGAAAGTGTGTCAAAGAAAAGTTTATTGCTTACAGAATATTTGTACATAATAAAAATATTTTATGAATGATTTGTCGATGAGAATAAAGACTTGATTAAATTTATTACATTGTTTGATTCTACTGCAAAAGTATTAGTCATTTCTAAAGTTAAAATAGCATTGTCAATCATGGATATCGTTGTCTATTTTTCGATTCACATCGTTAAAGCATAAAATTGCCGATACAATGTGTTCCTATATCTTATAAATTCATTTTTTTCCTCTAAATAACATGTGTGCGACGTTAGCTTTGATCTTATACATATACTACGAATAAAAGTGTTAGATATATATATATGCTATCGATGTACGATAATTAGAAAATCTTTTGATGTTTATAACAAGTGAAATTATTATAAGAATAGAATTTCTATATGACTTCGGTGATTTTTATAATCGGGAATAAAATTTAAGACTATTAATATCAGAGTTAATCATATATGCGAAAAATCATTAAGATTATTATCAATCTTATTGTCACTTTAGTTTTTCAATTCATCATTCTTTATTCGTATGATTAATGATCTTCTTGATAGATATTTATCTAGGTTGTTAGATAAAATAAATATTTAAAAATGCAATCGTGTTTTATTTCTAGTTGTATGTGGTTTAATTGATCGTCGAAAGAAAAAACGTTTATTATTTAATGTTAAAGATTCTTCATTATTCGACAAAGGTGATATATGTCTTTATCAAGAAGTTGCACGTATGCCACCATTTGCAAGAAAATGTTTAATATTAGTTGGAGCACATGGTGTTGGTAGACGAACATTAAAAAGTCGTTTAATTGCTCTTGATCCTGATCGTTTTGGAACGACGAAACCACGTAAATAAACTTAAAGAACGAAGATTCTTTTATTATTAAAAATTTGTTTTCGTTAAATAGATACATCACGTTCTTTACGTATTGAAGAAGCGAATGCTTATTTTCATATGGATCGAAATGAAATGGAAACTGATATTGAAAAAGGTGGTTTTCTTGAACATGGTTTATATGGTGAACATTTATATGGAACAAAATTTGAATCTGTTCGACGAGTTATTCAATCAAGTAAAATGTGTGTACTTGATGTTGAACCAACAGTAAGAATAAAATTTTGTTTGTTTGAAAATTTTATTTTTAAATAATTTTAGGCTTTGAAATTAATTTGTAATAAAGAATTTATGCCGTATGTTGTATTTATAAAAGCACCTAATTTGGATTATCTTCGTCATATGCAACATAATGATAAACAGAGAATGTCAAAAATGAGAACAGTTTGTATTCCTTAGGAAAAACAAAATTTCATAATTTGACTTTATTTTTTTCTTATAGAAAAGTAGTATGGGTAATAATTCATTATTAAACTTATCGGTAAATAATTTATTTAATGAAGATTTATATATGTGGGGTTTCTTTTAGGCAAAAGATCTTGAACAAGTTGTTTTGGAAAGTGATGCTTTAGAACATGATTATCATACGTATTTTGATTTGACACTTGTTGCTGACGATATTGAAAAAACATTTGAACAGTAAATTAATTAAGACGATATGGTTTATATATGTATTCATTTATTTTTAGGCTTGTTCGAGCTGTTGAAGCATTGAGTGCTGAACCTCAATGGGTTAATGTTCAATGGTTTTCTTAAATCTTTGTATCGCAGAAAAATATTTCCTGTTATTGTGTTGACTAATCATCTAGTGTTTTCTTTGTTTGTATATACATGAAAAGTGCTTATAATCATATGAATTTCATACATTCCATTGTGTTCTTTTTTTTTGATTTCTGTGCAATTTAACATTTATTGCTACCGCTGCTGCTGCTGAATGCTAACAATTCCTTTTTTTTTAAATATAATGCTTATTTGCTTTTCTACTTGTAATCTCAGTTATTAATGAATAAACGCATTCCAGTGCTTCTTTTTTACTGCACCATTAGAATATATGTTGATTTAAGTATTTTCGACTGGAATAAATTATACTATTACTTATATTTCATTCGAGTTAGTGTCGATGTTCTAATGCATATTTCGAACACATTAAATCAAATACTTTTGTTATAGGAACTGCACAGAGATAGTTAACAAAAAAGCGTTTACAGTTGGAAAAATGTAATTGATCTGAGATCGATTTTTGAGAAGGGACGATCTTTAATCTTTTCATGAGCGTTTTTTAGTGAAAATAATTGATTTTGAAACTGTCTGTGAGAATGATTTAATAGCAAATAATCAATTTTTGAATCTTGCATTGCATTTGAAAATTCACAATTATTTTTGCTATTGTCTTTCTATATAATTTCATATACCACCGATGATGGATTCACTATTAATGACTGAAAAAGATGTATTGCAAATTATTTAATTTGTTTTTTTGCAATCGGTACCTAGCATACAATCTTCTATTTCTAGTCTGCTTATTTTCCCTAGAGCCTATTGTCTATATTCGAACGGTTTCATACATTTTATAAATATTTATATATAACTCATTATATGCCTCACTGGTTTTAATAAAGCTAAAATAGAATGCACTATAAATTCAAATAAATTATTAATTATGATTAATAATTCTATTGTTTTATAGCCCTAATAATTTTTGTCTATAGAATCCATAGCGAGTACTATTAAAAGTTATGTATAAATAAAAGTGCTCTCAAAGTGCATTATTTTTTCAGGTTTCTTTTAAGAACATTAATTATTTTATATGCGTACATTCTAATTTTAATTTTACGAGATATACTCAATGAGTGTGAATAGATAAATCTAAACAGCATTAGAATTGTTTCTTCTTATACATGTATATTCCGTTTTAACATTATTTATTTCTGAATAACAGTTCTAGAAATTACAGGTATTGAAACACTAATAGCCCCACTTATTATTGTTGTTTGTCTGGAAAATATTGTCATGTATTGAAGTACTTATTATAGTTGTATATTGAATGACATTAGTGAATATATAAACTTGACTTTTCTAAGTACGATATAATGAATCCTGTCTGGTCTATTAAATATTCTATATATCATTAAATGGGAACAATTAAATGAAAACTTTTAGATAAGTAAAAAAAGGAAAAGCGCTTTTGTTTATTATTATTGTTTCTTTCTTTCATTTGATTTTTTTTTCAAAAGTTTTATGAATAATTTATGGCTTCGAAATACATCAATTTCACCTACATTTGATCATCATATTGAAAATTCTCAGATAAATGAAATACCAATAAATCATTCAGAATGCCCATCATATACATTAGGATTTGGTCATTTATTCTCTGGCAATCTACAGTATCATCCATCTGTTCCTTATGAGTTAGGTTCATTTGAAGTACCTAAATGTAATTCCAATTTAAACTACAATATAGAACAAATGAATAATATCCAATCACGACAAGATTGTATTATTAATCAAAAAGTTAACGAAGCAATGGAAACTATTCGTAATACAATAAAAAATATTGAACAACAACATAATTATTCTATATCATGTATACCGTATCAGTATAATCCAATAGCGAATAATTATTCTCAGAGTAATATCACGAAAGCAGCTGCACTTCTTGAACGAGCAGCGCATGCAATGTCAACTGTTGCCAATACACAAAGTCAATTTCGATCATGAAAATCTAAATAGAATAACTAATAATCTTCTTGTTTCTAGTTTTGTATATAATAAACAAAATTATTTTTAGATTCTTTGATTACATTTATATTGAATATAAGATATTAATTTTAATGAAAATTTCTATTTTTAAACATACTTTTATTTTAATTAAATTACATGAAGAAAAAAAAATATTATTACAGCATTTTTCGAAGATATTCTTGTCGCTTGCAAATAATTCCTTTTTTGAAAAAAAGAATGTTCGAAATAATTTAACTGTCCCAAGCTGGTCGTGCTGTAAATAATTGATGAGATTGATTTGTATTATCATTCGTAATTGGCATTGGAATAGCTGTCCATGGTGTAATAGATGTAGTACTTGTTGTTGTTACTTCTAATGATCCTGTTGATCTATCTCGTGGTGATTGTCGAGCTTCATTAACACTACTACCACTGCTAACATTATCACCACTTACATGACTTGTACCAAAATCTATTGGCATTATTTTTCGATCTAATTGTTTTAAATAATCTTGAAATCGTTTATCCATTGTTGGAAATTGTTGTTGTTTCTTTGGTAATATAGGAAATAAACGATGTACTGTATGCATTGCTTCAGTTAATGTTAATTGATTATTACTTAACATTAAATATTGTATAGCAATAACAGCTAATGGTGAATTAGGTGTTAATTCAAAACCATATATAAGTACACGTTTTCCTTCTTGTTGTGCTCTCGATATAAAACGATTGACAGCTGAAAATAGTTGCCCTAATTGTGTTCGACTTAATTCTCGAACTTTACTGTTACTTAATTGATTTGAATCTAATGATGATGATGATGAAGAAGAAGATGTAAAAAATGGTTGATCAAATTCAAGTGTTAATGTGCAACGTGAATGTGTATGGCCACAGTGACATGGAAGACGAGCACCTACATTTGCTTTACGTGCTAATTCATCGGGTCTCATATTCGATGCATCAATAATATATTCAATATATAATTTACATAATTGTCTTTCATTTTGTAATGCACGGATTGAACCTAATAAAATATCATCAGTAAGAGCAACAAGTGGAACTGTTGGTGATGCTGGATCGCCCATAGCTAATGTTTGTCCTACTAGAGATTGTGGGCGTTTTTTATTATCGCGTCGTATTTGTGGACGGAAATCTGTTCCTAAATTAAATATTATATTATTAAAAAAAAGAAAAGTATATTTTTAAATTACGGAGAAATTCGGAAGTTGTTGTAAATACAGGTGGTGCTGGTTGAGGAGTAAATGATGATGAAACAGGTGATTGTGCTGATGGTTTTGAACGTATTAATATTGGAGATATTGATGGACATGATGGATTTCGTCGTGGAATAGATGTTACTGAAGTTTCTGGTGAATCAATATCCCATTTATTATCATATGCCGATGATTTCAAAGGTAATGAAACAGCTGTTGTTGGTCGATTAAATGGTACGGGCATTGAATTAGAATCAGTACTCATACGACTTAGATGTTTTTGATGAAGAGAATTTTTATGATGATGATGGTGATGATGATGATGATGCCCAACTGCTGATGTATGTCGACGACGAGTACTTGATGATGAATGATGATTAAAACGATCTGTTAAAGTTTGTTTTCTTCGTCGAGATTTTAAATCATTATTATCATCATCATCATCATTAGATGAAGATGTTGTTAAAACATCTTGAACATTTAAATCACTTGCTGATGCGCCTTCAATACGCACTGTTACGGTTGATGGATCAGCCACTGTAGATGATGCCGAGCTAAATATATATATATTGAATATTATTTAATTTTTTCTTTTTCTATCTACTAGATTGAAATGTATTTTCATAATTTTCTTTTTCTCTTATCTTTTTTTTAACTCACCTTGGGGAACGTCGAATCACACTGTGCGTCATTTTCTTAACTTTAAGATCGCATTTCTTCAGGCTATAACAGAAGTAAATCAAAAAAGAAAAAGATCAATACACGCAGTCTTAAACAATTAGACTGATTAGCAATAATAGTACATCAATGACGCATATAAAGTTGTACTGCAACTACGTTTACAGTTGATGCACTACTGTTGCCAGAAGGATAAAAGAAAAAGGAGTCGTATTCTAGAAGAAAATATAATCAAAATTGTTGTATAATGACGAGACTTTTTTCATATCTTTATATAAAAAAAACGAGAAAGAATAAAGAAAAAAGAGGAAGAGATTTCTTTCTTTTTTTACCTTTGACGCTTTTGTGTGTGTGTATGTGTGACACGATCCATCGTATTTCCTTGAGCTGTTGCTTTTCACTAACATAGTTCATCTTATCTACTTTTTTCTTTTTTTTTTCTTCGTCTTCCTTTTTTTACTTTCTAATTTGCATGTCAGTCTATGAATTAGAATTCTCATCACTCGAGGATGACAAACACTACCAAAGATATAACTGTTTCACAACAACATACATATTAAAGTTTTGATGCATTTATTATAACATAAGATTATTATTTTCCGTTCTTACTTGAAAACAGGAAAAAACATGTTATCATACATAAGTTTTCAAGACAAAAGATTACTCATGTATTTCGATAGATCTATTATATATCAATGTTCGAAATAGACAAATGATTTTATATAGAAAATAGAAACCAATTATTAGTAGTTTTGTTAAGTCAATAAGTACAGAAATATGAACGCTTGAAGCCTTAAGAAGTTCTTAAATTTATTTCATATAATCAAATTATATTCTAAGTAATATTTCAGATGTCATTCTATGAATAAAAAATGACTTGTAAATTAATTTTTTTTTCAGTGAAACACGGCCGTTTCTTTTTTAAAAGAATTATATACTTCACGGACGAATAGATATGACTTGAAGGAATGGTAGTAACTGTAATTAAAATCTCTGAGAATAGACTGATAAACTTTTTTTTTCTAATTAATTTTTAGTTTATATTTATTTAGCTCCATATAATTTTTCCGAGGATAAAGTCAGTTAGCAGTTCCGTATAATTAAATTCAAGTGATATTTGATCATTTATATATAGATATAGGAAATAATCAAAGAACTGCATCTGTCTGCATTAAAATCTCAAGTCATTAAATATTCTGTTGTTTATTCAAATAAAAAATCTTTTTTTTGTTTTTCTTTTAATAAATAACTATATGTATATATTCAATAAATGTATTGTTAAAAAAGGAATGTTTTAATAAATGTATATATAAAAAAAAAAGGAATAAAATAGAATTAGTCTTTTCCTTGAAGAATAGCATGACGATAATTATTTTTACTTGAATTTGTTAATGATCGCCATGTTGTACCTGAATAACGAAAAAATGCAAGAACTAAATGAAGACATACGACAAATGATAATAAAGCAGTTGATAAATAAAATGATATATGAAGTAGATAACTTGATTGTTGATCTTGATGTTGCCAATAACTAAATGTTAATAAAACAAGAAATATCCAACCAGCAATAACATGACACATTGCATTAAAAAAGAAACATGACATTAATATAATATAAACTATTGTTATTAGACACATTATAGCAATAAAACATACACCGATAATATCTAATGTTGATTCATTTATATGATACAATGATTTTGTTGATAATAATGATTTACAAGTATATAAAGATGAATAACCGATTAATGCTATTTGCCATGCTAACATTACACTAAGACCATTATGAACGAATATTCTTATTGACCATATATCACCAAATCTAAAAACAAATTGTTTTTTTACAGAAAAAACTTTAAGAAAAATATTTTCATACAAATGACATGTAGATAATTCACGTTCGTAATTATGAAGATGAATTATAGATGTTACAAGACAGAATGTTAATGCCATTGCACCCAGAATTGTATAAATAATTGCAAGCTAAAGCAAAACAAAAAAAAGGCGTTAAATCAAATAAGAATTTAAATAAATACATACGACATTGGATTGATGTTGAATAAGAAATAAAAATAAAAGATGTGACCAACAAGCAAGACTAAATGTTAATAATTGCATCTGAGGTACTGGACGAGGATATTTATATAAATAATCACTATCACCACCGCCACCATTTCGACGACATAATGTTGTTACCGCATAGAGTAACCAAGGAACCTAAATGAAATTTTGAAACTTAAATAATAACAAACGAAATCATTTCTACATACTTGTAAACCATAGACAGTCATCCAAATTGGTGCAATCCAACTTTTAGGTGGTACTAATGGATCAGTGCGTGCATGAAAATGATGAAGTATATGACCGAAAACTATAGAAAGTTTTGCTAATCCCTTCCAAGAAAGATATAAACTTATAATATTACCTTGACTATCGAAGAAAAGATCACCGATGATTAATGTTAATGCAAGAATATATGAAACAAGAGCAATAATAAGACCAATTGTTTTGCCACATGCATGTCGTTGTTTGGTTCTATGAAATACAGGTATGATACTTCATTTGTATGATAAAATGAATAGATTCCGAAAATGAAATACATACTTATCAATTGCAGTATGCATAGCCGGACTATCTCCAAAAGCCGTTGGACGAGAGAACAAACTCGACGACATGATTAGATTGTAAATATAGAAGAAGATGAACAAAAGTCAATGTTGTTATTCTTCTTCTCTATGATCATATAACATACATAAGATGATATTTATCAAAGTAATGACGGTATGTATCTGTTTAAAATAAACACGTTTGAATGATATTTTTTTCTCCTTCTTCTTCTTCTTCCTTTCTGATTGGATATGTTACTGAAATAGTTATATAAGATCGTCTATTGTTTATAGTTATGAAAAAAAGAAGAAGACAAGTTCGGTCAGCAAGTACTATAGAATGAATATTGAATATCTTACTGATTTTTTATCTAATATAAGATTAGATTCGATGCAATAGTAAACATATTATTTATTATTTTATAAATACTTAGTGAGTTATGATATTCCCTGGATTATGATGATAGCAAATGTCATTTTTTTCTGATAAATGACTAATTAATCGATATTATGCATATTATAGAGTTATTGTTTTTCGAGAAAATTAAATTAAGAAAAACTGAATTTATTTTTCTATAATCTAAAGGTAGTGAGCCAAAGCATCCTTCCAACTTAATATATATTTTGTTTTGCTGAAGATTAGGACAAATAAGACGAAAAAGAATACACTGGTGCGTGCGTGTATAAAGATAGAAGAAAACAGAAAATTTGTAGTCATTCAAATGAAATTATAGGTACGAATCATACATTATTACATAAATTCATTTGACAGACACGCACAAATGAAACAAAATTCTACTACACAAGACGAAAACAAAAGAAGAAAAAGAGAAAGTGCACAAAACTTG